AACACATCTTGATTGCATGTTTGGTCAATTTCAGACTGCAGAAGTTGATAAAAATCTTTAATTTCCTCATGTTTGGCTTTGGTGGTTGGTGTGTAAATATGAATAATACTAGTATTAACTGGTCTTCCTTATAGGCATATGGATATTATCCTATCACTGACAACACTGTACTTGAGGGCAGATCTTGAAACATTCTTTGGGACAACAAATGCCACACTATTCCTCTTCAATCTGTCATTCCTGGCATAGTAGATTATATGATTGTCTGATTCAAGATGGCAAAAACCAGTCCATTTCATCTCACTAATGCCTAGGATATCGGTCTTTATGTGTTCATTTTTGACAACTTCCAATTTTTGCTAGATTCATACTTCATACTTTCCATGTTCCAGTTGTTAATGACTTTTGCAGCTGTTTCTTCCCATTTGGAGTCATGCCACATTAGCAAATGGAGGTCCCGAATTGTTTCATAGGGTTTTCTTGGCTGTAATCTTTATGGAAATAGAACAGGCCTTTCTTCTGTATTGCCCTGGGTGGTTTGGAACCTCCAACCTTTGATCAAATCACTGCCATTGAATAGACTGTGGCTCATAGCAACCCCTCCTTGGGTTTCTGAGGTGGTATCTCTATGGAAGTAGATTGCCCAACCTTCCTGGTAGTTGACTGCCAACTGTTTGTGCCACCTAGAGACCTTAATTCTCATATTGATTCCCTATTTTCATCTAGACTCTGCATAAGAGGAAACAGATTCCTCATGTTAGGTCATGTGACTTGTCTGTGCTGTAACTGGAACTTGAACTCAGAGCCCCATGGTTCCTAACCCTTATTCTGCTACCTCACATGAGCCACTGAGTTTCACATAGAAGGGACTGTTTCAGAGATGTGGGTTATAGAATGGAGTGTGGATTGTCCCATTGGCCCCAATCCCATTGCTGGAAACACAGCTAAGCACATATGAATGACAGTTTCTGGATCTTTATGTGGCAAAGCCCACCATCTATCTTTCGTAGGTTGGTTTTCCTAGAAGCAAAACCTGAGATAAGGTTAAATAAGGGATTTACTAAGGGGTTGCTCTCGGGAGAAACCTGCAAGGGGGTGATGAAGACAGGCTAGGGAAGGAGGTGAAGCTAAGTAATGAGGTGCTTGCAGAAACCACCTGGACCATGCCCTGTACCACACACACAGCCCTCACAGGGGCAGAGGCCTAGGCAGTTACACACCCCTTCAATCAGTCATTGTCTACAGGGGTCCCCTGGTGGGGTATGGGTTGGCAAGGTAGCTCCAGCTGACAAGGACCTCCTTAGGAAAAGAAGGCAGATATGAATCCTTAGTACCCAGACCCTGGCTTAGGTAGGGGATATGCACTGGCCCAGGAGGGGACCTGGGTAGACACCAACACTATCTGCTACAACCTCTTTCCATCCATTGCCTTGCTGGTCCCCAAGGCAAGGAAGACCCACCTGCCCTGTGGGTTCTTGTCCTAGGCTAATTTCCAATTCATAAGCAATAATCCCTATTATGTAGGGAGAAGGTGAGGGAACATAGATGAGACAGACATGGCCTCCTGCACAGAGCCCAGTCTAGTAGAGGTGAGCAGAGAAGTCTGGCCTACAAGGATCATTCCAGGAAAAGCTCGGTGAGCAGCTATGAGAGCTCAGGGGAGGGAGAGAGACTAGAGCTGGGGAGCATGAAACAGCCAGAGGAGATTTAGCTCTTTGACCCTGATGAGCAGGGAGAGAGTTTGCCTTTGTGGACCTAGCCGGTGATTGTAGCATTTCTAGCAGGAGGCCCAGCCTGAGGAAACGTCTGTAGAGCTTGAGGCCATGAACTTGTGGACCTCAGTGTCTGGACCAAGAACAGGCCTCCTGGGCCAGGCCTTCACTTGAGAACTATATGGAGTCCTTTCTGTGCTGGGCATTGCTCTGAGTACCATGGGTGAAAGCTAGTGCAGGACAGGCATGGGCCTGACACAATAGTCTCCAAACACAGGAAGAGAGGAGGACACAAGGCCATCATGCAGTGACCCAGAGCCTGATCCTGAAGATGGTGGAAGATTTTAGGAGGAAGAGTAACAAGAACAGAAAGACCAAAATCACCCTTTTGAGAGCTCATTCAGGCTGCAGCTCGGAGGTGTGCTAGAGAGGGGCGAGACTGGGGTCAAGGGGCCTGTGGGTGTCAGTGAGTGAGGGAGTAGCAGACACACACACCCCATTCAAACACCATCCCTGGGGCTCCTGCTGAGCTTTTGGCTTTGGCTCTTTCTGAGATGATGATCTACTCTCGGGGCAGACAACTGCTGCTCGGTTAGCAGGACTCACAAGGTCAAAAAGACCTGGTGGGGACAGAAGTCCAGGTTCCCCTCAAGGAGCAATTTTTTTAAAAAATTAACAATTATTCTTTAATACCATTATATCATTATACATTTAATCGGTGTTCAAATTTCTGCTTGCCTAATAAATGTCAAAATCTTTTATTTTTATAATTTGTTTAAGATTCAACTAAGGTATACATTGTGTGATTGGCTAATCTGTTTTTATTATTATTGTTATTGTGGTAAATATATTGGTAACAAAACATCTGTCATTTTGACAATCTTCACATGCAAAATTTAGTGACATGAGTTATGAACATTTTAAAGGAGCCAGGCTGGTTTGAGAGAGTTAAGTACTTGGTGGGGGCATCAGCAATCCTGTGGGTTCCAGAACCCAAGATGGCAGAGGGACAGGTGTGGGGAACAGGGAGGATGGTGCAGAAGGACTTCTCCTAGCACTCTGGGGTCTGACCCTTACAGTGGGGCCGCCAGTAGTAACGCAGGCTCTTCTGATAGGTGTTCAGGTTACGCTTCAGGCACAAGGCCACCTCCTTGTCACAAGCACACAGCTGCTGTTCACACCAGCTCCCCTTGTCCGCTGTGGGAAGGAGGGAGGGAAGGAGTTCAGTGTCTATTCCTTCCTGGGGTAAAGCCAAGTGTAGGTCTAGGGGCCTCTGAAGGCAGTGTAGCCTTCCTTAGCATCGGCAGCAGATGGGCCTGGGCATCCACCCCTTCAGTCCTAGCTGTGTGACCTTGGACATGAGCCATGACCTTCCTGGATGTCATTGCTCCTTTATTTACTTATTCATCCATTCAATAAGAAATTATTGAACACCTGCCACATGACAGACTCTGTGGGGGAGATGGGTGACCAGAATGGATGTGGTTCATGCCCTAGTGAGGGCCTTAGTCCAGTAGAGGAGGCAGGTATTAGAGAAACACAGAAACAACTATTCCAAACTGCAGCAATTGGAAAGAAGGTACCGTGCAGAGTTCCAAGATCCATGCCAGGGCAATCTATTCAGCTTGCACTGTATGGCAGGCATCCTAGGAGGCTCATTATGTCTGCTTTTGTTTTAGCTCTTGCAATAGCTTTAGGGGGTAGAATACTGTTACTATCTTGAGTTTGTAGATGAGGAAACTGAGGTTTAGAGAGGTTAAGTAATGTTCAAGGTCACAGAGCTAGTTGGCGATGGGTCTAGGATCCAAGTAGATCTATTTCACACCTAGGCTGCATCTGATGACATTGACTGGACTTGGTAGACATAAACAAGCATTGTTTCCACCCAGGTCTTGAAGGGGTCAAAGCCCCTGGAGGACCTCTCCACATCCCCTCCACGGCCCAGCTGCTGCCACTGGGCACGTGAGAAAGACAAGCATGAGTGGCAGAATTCTCTTCCTCAGACTACAGATTCAGCCCCAAGGCCTGGCACTCACAGCACTGGATTGTCCCTTGGGAGAAGCTGTATTTGTAGTTGTCTGTGTTTAAACGGCATTTGTTGCTCTTCAAGTGAGTGTAACAGCAGTCATGAGTCTTGCAGCACCTGGCAGGAGAGGACAGGAGGAAGGAGGGGGCAGGGAGCACACTTGTGCAGGTCCTTGGCCTATTAGGGTCTCTGACTGCCCCTACCCAGGGGAGAAACCAGATGCCCACCTTGGGAAACTCAAGGCCCCCAGGGTTCTAATTTTCTTTATGTTTATAATAGCTATCAGTTTGTCATACTGTGGTGATTTGCATGTTGCTATGAGGCTGGGGGATATGCCACCAGTGTTTCAAATACTTGCAGGGTCATCTGTGGTGGACAAGTTTCAGTGGAGCTTCCAGAATAAAACAGACTGGGAAGAAGGATGGGGCCATCCACTTCTGAAGAGATTGGCCAGTGAAAACCTTATGAAAATCAGTGAAACACTGTCTGATATATTCCTGGAAAACTTTATGAATAGCCCTGAAACATTGTCTGATACAGTGCTGGAATATGAGCCCCTCAGGTCGGGAGGCACTCAAAATATTACTAGGGAAGAGCTGCCTCCTCAAATAGAGTTGACCTGAATGATGTGGATGAAGTAAAGCTTTCAGGACCTCCATTTGCTGATGTGGCATGGCTCAAAATGGGAAGAAATAGTTGCAAACCTCCATTAATAAATGGAAAGTGGAATGTATGAAGTGTGAATGCAAGAAAATTGGAAGTTGTCAAAAATGAAATG